CAACCGTTCGCAACCGTTCGCAACCGTTCGCAACCGTTCGCAACCGTCCGCAACCGTTCGCAACCGTCCGCAGTAGGACGCTAAGGCGCTGCCATTGGGGGAAGCTTTTGCAAGTGACTTTTCATGGATGTGTCCCGTGTCAGTTTGCGCCGCTATTCCATTGTGATTTGCATGAGAAAGACATGTCGCGCAAGCAACGTGATGCGTTTCGCTGCACAGGCGCAGCGTTTGGTGAGATCTGCAGATTGCTGCGCAGTTCCATTGGGATTAGCGTTTGGAGAGTCGTGTTTTTGGGGTGTTGGATGTGGCCGTGCCATTGGGATTTGCGTTTCAGTGTGTGGCATCGAAGCTCTGTTTTCGTGACCAGTCTCAGCTGAAATGCCGATTTTGGTGGATGGGAGTGTGCTCAGAACGGGTCGAAATCATTCCAAACGTGTGGTGTGGTGCAAATTTTGTTGAAGCTCACACGAGATGACATTGTTACTTTTCGTGGCAGGCGCAGGACTTTGTGCGGGTTTTGAGGTGTGGAAGTGGGATTTTCGTGGCAGGCGCAGGGAATCGTGAGGTTGCGATGTGTGACGGAGGTGACATTTCGTGGCAGGCGCAGTACTTTGTGCGCGTTAGACATGTGGACGCGGAAAGATTCGTGGCAGGCGCAGGGAATCGGGAGGTTGTGGGTTGTGGTAGAGGTGAATGTCGCTGTCACATTGGGATTGGCGTGTGAGCGGGCGTCGTTTGGAGGGGCTGGAATCGCGAAACTGCTTGGCAGGGCTGCGTGATGTGTGTGCTCCGATGGGTGTTTCCGCTGGACTTTTGGAGGAAGTCTCGTGCGAAACGTTCGTTTTGCAGACTTTGACATGTGAGTTTTTGAGGAAGTCTCGTACAAAACGCTCGTTTTGGGGACTTGACATGTGACTTTTGGAGGAAGTCTCGTACGAAACGCTCGTTTTGGAGACTTGACGTGTGACTTTTGGAGGAAGTCTCGTACGAAACGCTCGTTTTTGAGACTTGGCGCGTGACTTTTGGACGTACGAAACGCTCGTCTTGCAGCCTCGCAGCGTGACTTTTGGAGGA